AACTCCCTACATATCACTCTTAACTGCACGATGCCTATGCGCTGGACTCCCGAAAATGATCAGCTGGTGAGTACACTCTCCTCACTATGGAAACCAAGACTGACACCATGGCTCAAACATAAGCTTTTGCTGAAAATACTTGAAACTCACGACCTCTCCGTTGACACCAACAAGGTTGCCTCTGCCTGGCGTATGTCCCTCCCCTCTCCAAGTCCTCTAGTCTAAACATTATATATGGCAATCACTAACACTAAGCAGCTGGCACTGACGATAATGAGAAGCCGACTCCACGTGCCATCAGAGAGCGTCTCGTCAAAATGCGCCAAATCGTAAAGGCTTCTGGCAGCGACGGCTTCACCATTGGCGGCAGCGAGACTTCCACCCCCAAGAAGGCCAAAAAGACCGCTACTCCCATTAAGACCCCTGGTTCCAAGCGGAAGCGCGGTGGTAAAGCCGGTACCATTGCTGATGCCAACGAGAATGCCACTTCTCTTAAAAACGAGGAGAATGCAATCAGTCCTGTCAAGATGGAAACTGCTGAGGACGAGATCGACACGCCTACCAAGAAGAAGCCGCTGCACCCCACTCTTTCAGGAAACCAAGCCCAGATCCAGAGCGGCTTTGTGAAGACCGAGGGATCTGACCAAGCCGTCTTTGATATTCTGAGCACTCCTACCAAGCGTTCCCGCAAGGCGAGCGTTCTTCCTGCGGGTATGGTCAGTTACGACGGCGACGAGCAGGGAGAAGATGATCCCGAGAGCTCTGCTTCGGAATTCCTTCCTGACGAGGCGGGTGTCAAAATGGAAGATATGGACATGATGAACTTCGCTTGATTTGATGCTGCTGGGCTCCGTGGGGTTCTGGTTCTTGTAGCTGGGAGTTAGTTGCTGGTTTGAAAATTGCGCAGGCAACACGGCCTACTTATTCTTTCTGTATCTAAGGTTGTGACAAGCATGCAATGCAATCTGTGATATTATTGCCAAAGACCACAAACAAGTCATTCCTACAATACTGCACCAGTAAATGCAAAGGACCCTGTTACAGAACCCAGCTACAAGGGCATAATCCAGCTGCATTTACAGACCAGCACGATACGCCTATACCGTGTTGCCTACGCTCAGGACCTACAGGAAGGCGCATCAACTCGGCATAGCATTTCAATTAAACCCAAGCCGTATTCCTGAACGACTGTCCTAATAAGCCAGTGCCGCAGGCACAGTCTAAGTCTGTGTGGGCCACCATACCCATAAACCCCAGCTACAAAACCAGAACACAACGCAGTAACACAGGCAAGAAAGAAACCCTCATGCTCAGGGAACTGATGCATAGAAGCGAATCAGAGAAGCTCAAGCGCTGTCGACAGCAGATCCGTTCTCCTCTTTCTTAGCCTTCTTAGCTTTCTTGGGACTGCCCTTGTCCTCCTCTGCGTCATAACCGTTAGTGTCCTTCTTTGGGCGGCCGCGCTTGCGTTTCTCCGGAGTAGCAGGAGTAGAGGAGTCCCCGTTGACAGCGCTTCCAGCCCTAGGATCCATTTTGAGACGTTGGATTCTACGCTGGATAGCAATGGTAGTGCAATCTGTGTTCATTCGTGTCAACGAACTCTGCTTCTTAATAGTGCCTGTAGCTAAGCTATGATTTGTGTGGGTACCGACCTGGTCCCATGTGTTTGGCAAGGTCTTCGTAGTCAAGCTTGATGTTGCTGGTCATGAAGATTCTGAGGAGAAGCTGTTCTTGTCAGTCTTGGTGTTATTTGAATGTGTTAAAATGAGGCGCACCTTGGCATCAGCCTCGTGGTCCCAAGTCATAGGCATTATGACAGTTGTTTTGGAGGTTTACGGGAATAGGTTGCGGTGTAAGATGAGGTTGAGGGTAAATCAAAGTAAAGCTTAGTCGAAGGACTGGTCGATGGACTTGGATACGTAGAGTAAGAAGAGGCCTTGAGAGACGACAGGTGGATGTAGAGTAAAACAATGATGGTGTAATGAGAAGAAGAGAAGAGGGGAGATTGAAAGAGCTGGGGTTGTTTGTCTGTGTTGCTATAGCTGTGGGCTGTGGCTAACGAGGACCTGAAGCGGAACCGGGGCTGAGTAGCTATTATACCTAGAACAGCAACACAAAGGCCTATTCAAGCAGACGGGGCAACCACTGGACTTAGAATGATTGCGTTTTACCAAGCTGAAGGTTGATTGAGAGTGCTGAGAGGTCACACTGCCGAGCCAGAGGCGATACAACTGGACATAAGCCTTAGGCTAGAGGTTGGCGTGTTTTGGTTCTACTCGCAGTACGGTCAACTGTGAAGAGCTATGGAGACAATGCCTCTGTTCAGATTTAAAGCACTTTTGAAGAGTTCGGTATATTGAGATGTCAAAAGCTGACCCAACCACTATCTAGCACACTTGAATCTAAATTTGTTTTGTTGTATGCTTCAAGACGGTAGGATAAGTAGCCATTGTATAATAACTCTATTCTGGCTTTCTTCTGCATCTTCAGATCGTCAAATTGCCGGAATACTCGACCGAGGGCGATATAGAGCTCTGCATCAGCGAGTCTACGCATGTCAGTGTGACAAGTTGTGATTCAAATATGATTCAAGTCAATACGTACTGCATCCCAACACATTGCCGCGGGCCCTTGCCAAACGAAAAGAGGTGCTTTTCGAGGGCACTATGTGTGGCAGGGTACTGCCAGCGCGCCAGATCAACTGTCTCTGCGTTCGGAAATATTTCGATGCACCATCCACAAGCTCTGCTGTCAGGCGTTCATATATCTGTGGATTGGTGACGACATTATAAGCTGCAATTGTCGTTGCGTTTACCTGTTGTATCAGCGGCGGCGGCAATGAGGACATAGGCATCGTCACTGAGTTGCTCGACTGTGGGCACTTTGTATCCTTCTGTGTCGTCTGGTCGAAGGAGTTGGTGGAAGACTATCTTTCGTCAGACTTTATCACCTTTTTCCACGGCCTCCTTGTCTTTCAGGATCTGGCGCTTGCAACGCTGAACAGAATCATATCAATCTTGATTACCGACCAAACAGGGTTATAAACAAGTGTTTCTTGCCTCAAGACACATCATCATTCTTGACAGTGACTTGCTCCCCAACTTGGCGAGCCAGAATGGAGTCTGGATAGCCAGATCTCGCATGGAAGGAAATTCCTGGAAGAACCACAATGTGGGACCTATGTCACGGAGCATCCTGAATATCTCAACGCCAAAGTTCTCCTCGTTCAACCAGTCATAACAATCATCGAACGCATAGTCGTTGAGGACGTCAAGGGAAACTGCCCGAAATCCACAGAGCAGGTCAATATATGTGGTACACTCGAACGCTGATCGCATGCGATTTATCAACTTTGGACCTTTTCCTGCACGACGTCTTCTATCTCGAAGACCATTTTCCGCGAAAAGAAAGGATTCAAAGCTGCTCGTCTGACCCAATGGATGTTGCTATCGGGAACTGTCAACATGGGATTATCTTAGCCCAAGGCACGGTAGAAGGCTGGACTTTCGCCGGACTGAGATCCAAACTTACAAGCATGAACCATGCACGGAAACGGACATTGCATGAGCTTGCATAAGGTTGTCGAAGAATGTTCATTAAGTCGACCAACAGCCATAGGACTCAAGTATCACTATCAGTCCATCCCGAGCTACCTTACAGAATCACGGATATATATTCCGTCGTGTTTCCCCTTAGTCATCGGTTCTTAAAGATGCAGCCCCTTTCTACTTTCTGGAAGTCATTGATCAGGCGTTGAAAAGGCAACATTAGAGTCGACTGGGTTTTGCTTGAAGGACTTCAAGGGAATAATCGGCTGACTTCGACCTAACCTGCTCACTGGAAAACCATGTAGTGATACCTTGTCAGCTTCACCACAGCATAAGGTCTAGCAATAATCTGCGCTTTGGATTCATATGTCTTGAATTAACTTCTGAGACCTCTGGTTTCTCGAGTACCAACAACATTTTACGAAAAATATCTGGGTTGTTGGGGGTTTTTAGTCTTCACTTCTCTCTTTCTCGTTCTCTCTCTCGATAATTTGGATTTGTAGCGATATCTCACCCGTTCCCTAACCCCTGAGCGAACCAACAACACTGTTACACAGCACTGAGAAAGCGATGCAGAAGATCTAATGCAGTGGTACTCAAAGACATGTCGAGAGCATTGTTCATCCCTTATCGCGCGTACCCCTCCGTACCCCTCATTTCTCTGGACATGTTTCGGAGTTGACCATTTGCTTCAGTGGCACATGGAAGGAGCCATATCGCCATTCCTTCTACCACCGCACCATACTTATCCACCGAAGTAACAATCGGCAGCACCATCGGCACTACAGACGTCGCCTACATTCAGGTCCTCATCCTGTTGTGGTCTGCTGCGCGCAACAGTCCACACGACAATATGCGACGGCGAAAAAGCGAACTACAACAACATAACCTCATAAACGACATGCATACTGCACTCTGCCATGATGGGACCACTTCCTGCCTCATCTACTGACTTTCTGAGGGAAAATTGAGAACAGCGGGGTCAGAATGAGACAGAATGAATACCCCTCAGGATCCACCGCTCAAGTGCGCCAAGCGCCTCGATAGCAGCACAAGTGGAGACGACTCTCAGCAGCAATATGGCGGTGACTACATGTTGCAGTACAATTGTGGCTGGTGTAAAATACTGTTGCCTAAGATTTTCGCAGCTCAGGCGAAAAGAGGATATGTCCGCACAGAGCCAGGGACGCTGTTCGCTGCTCAATGTCGCAGCTGCCACAATGGTACCCACTAGAGTTCAAAAATGCGCGATATGGGAACAAATAGGGCAAGGCCAGGTGGTTAGCTGATCCGTCGTGCTATAAACTGTATGGGCAAGGGCCCACATTTCAGGACGGTGATGGTATAAATGTGAAGCTGTTTCCCGCGAAGGAGTGCAGATACTAATTATCTTTTCAGATCAGTCAGTGCCATTCCCTCCAAGAGACCTTCTTGACTGTCTTTACATTCAAAATGAGCTTCCACCTCTCCGCTGTAGACATCCGTATCGAGGATGGCCATGTACTCGTTGCTCGACTCCGCAGAGCCGATGGTGAATTGCAAGACGCCTCGATTGACCTAGACAACTGCCTCGGAAACGACGACGGTACTTCCACCTTCTATGAAATGAACCAGATGCAGAATGCCAGATGACTTATTGATGCAGGTCGCTTTCAATGGGACGGTGTCGGCTTCTCTCATTCTGCCGAGGATGTTCACTTCGCTATCGAAGGAGACGGCGAGGTTCCCGTCCTCCGGGCTCGGTTGGCAAATGCGGACGGCGAGTTCCAAAGTGCTGACGTGAATCTGTCTGAGCGTATCGAAAATATCGATGGCCAATTCGTATTCCAGTGATTGAGAGTGAGTTCATGCATGGCTCGGCAGACCGGTTCCGCAGATCTAACATGGTTTGAAATAGTCACGGCGGAGTCTGCGCACATTGTTAATAAGATGATGAGTCCAAGGCACTGTATATGAGTTTATCAATTGTTTATCCAGGTGACGCTGTAGGGTGCTTCTAACCACCACCTCGGAGATAGCTCCCGCAAGGGGCGAGCGTAGTTTCCCATTGGAGAATGTCCATATTCCAGTAAGAGCACAAGGTATTGGTGAACAGTCATTTTTAGAGAGAAGAAATTCAGAATCATGAAGCACCAGGGTATGCCACTTAATGCGCCCATACCGTTGACCATTGTAATAACCATCTTTAAACCTGTAACCCAACACCTTACCAAGAACGCCACCTTAAGGCGCTCCAACTCGTAGAATAACGCGATGAAGGCGCAACCGTCAAACCAATCAAGCACCTGTATCAGAACTTGCGCGAAAAAGAGACCATCCAGCACCAGAACAAAGGGGAAATAACGTAGAGACGAAAGGCAAAGAACCCGAAGACGGTAATATTACCATGCATGCCCTGCCGCACTAGCGTCGAAGTCGTTACCATTCCAGTCTTCGTCGCCACTAAGCTCGTCATCAAGAAAATCTTGTTCATTGAATTGCAGTTCAGTCGGGCGCAAATTGTCAATTCTGACCATGACAATATCGCACATGCCTTGGATAAAAAGGTCTCCATCGCCACCATTCGACGCTCGGTCTGGTGCGCTCAATTCCATATTATCTTCAGTTTCTGAATGCTTGCGTTTCGCAAGGCGAGCGCTTTTGCGCTTGGACGGCGTCGACAGGCCGCTATGATGTGCTTCAGACTGAGTGGCAGCATCATTCTGGTCAAGCTGGGGGGTTCCCTTACGGAGGCTGCGAAGATCAGGATTCGGAGGAGGACTCCTTCGCAAGAACACCCTCTCCATTCTTCCAATCCATTTCTCTCTGAAAGATGCGCGGTCACGCCATCCGATCTTCAAGATGGCGCTGATGATTAAACGGCGTAAGCTTCGAAGTTCCCTTGCGGAATCGATAAGAGACGTGAAGAATACCTCAGCTGTCGTGTCGTCCCATTTTCGCAATTGTATCAGCTCAATATCTTGCAATGTGGTGGGCCAGGTTGGCACCTCAGAGGGACCAAGCAACTCTCGAAAATGTGGCTCCACGTCGTGATAACTGGACCAGTCATGCATAGATATGTCCATCTTGAACCTTTCAAGAACTTGGCAATACTCCGCTAGTCCTACAACAAATGACATACTTAAATGCCTGTTGTGACTAAGGTTGAGTTCCCGAAGATGCTGCCCATGAGCAGCGAGAAATGCACTGAGATTTGAGGTGGTTACTTCATCGCAGTTGTTGATGGTGAGGGACGTAAGTGCCGAGGGCATATTGAGGAGAAGATGCTCGTTGACAATCGAGCACTCGGAAAATTCAAGCCGACGCAGATATGGAAGCTCCTTAATCGCAGTAGCGAGAATCACCTCCCGCTCGTTGGATGGCTCTGCACTTCCACCGTGATCAATATCTTCTGAAGCGACATGCAACAATCGTAACTCGCGCAAGCCCCGGAACGCGCGGTCATAATGTTTGCCGAGAAGGAAGGGAATCAGTTGCTTCGCTTCCATAAACCGGCTGTTCCAATCCCAGCTGCGCAGGTGTATCAAGCTCGCATTCATCGATTCGAATAGACTCTCGGGATAGACCCATTTAGACCGTTGTATCTGCCATGGAGCGAGACCCACAATGAAGTCATCTTTGTGATACAGCCGCACTTTCTTTACTTGAGGTGTCTTTTCGATAAGCCTAGGGAGTTCAAAATAACCGAGCATTGGTCCGCTTTTGTGGAGCAACAGGGTCTCCACGTCGACGTGCAACTCTTGGATCTTATTTCTATAGTTGGTTGAAAGTGTCTCCTGCGGCTGGCATAGCAGGCTGAGCAGAGCATGGCATTTGATAGGTATCAGAGGCGGAGAATGGTAGAGAGCTGACAATGCTGGCTCATGAAAAGCGCGGCACAACAAGGCAACGCTCACAAGCCATTGCGTCGAACTGTTTCTAGTTGCCGTCTTCTCATCCATCAGAGGAAACGATGCACGGAAGAAGATGTCAAACAATATGTGGTACGGAAGGGAGTGCCAGGGTGGTATGACTCCAGAGCCGACCGGGAACATGTCATCTGCCTGAACTTTTGGACGCTTGTTTAGAGGTCTACCCAATTCCAGGCGGTTCTTGGCAGGGGGCCTTTTGGACCTTCTAGTCTGGGACCTGGTTTTCACCGTGCGATTGCGTCTAGGCCGGGAAGATGTGCCATTGCTAGTAGATTGGGGAAACGGATAGGTGTATCGAGTTGGAGCTTCAACGGGCACGACGGCTGAAGGGTCCTCGTCAGAAGATCGCTCAAAGTCATCATCTGTAGATTCCTCGCGATAAGAGACAGGGGCTCTGTTTGCACTGCGTGGACGCAGCGAAAGCGACATTCGTCTAGATCGTTCCTGATCAGAGTCGGTGTCTTCATCAAGCCGATCATCTGAACTGCTATCCTCAAGATATGATTGCACACGGGTACGACTAGTACGAATAGGACGAGACAAGCTAGATGTCCTCTGACGGGATGAGCGCATTGAGGAAGACATGATAGTGTAGAGTAGTAATTCGCCCTAACTTCAGATAGAAGGCCGGGACGGCAGCAGATAACACATCGCCCACCTGCCCGTCAGGTCCTCAACACCGGAAGTTCAAATACCACTGAGGACGCAGGGGCTAGCATCATGCGTTACTAGACTGGACGCCAACAGTGGAAATAATTGAATGAGCGATGATTGAATGAGATGGACTAGGAAGGCCTCAAGTGGGCTGAGACGAAGAGAGGAAACGATGAGGTCAGTCGGTGTTGCCGTTCGATTATCGCCCTTGCAGAGGTTTATCGATAAGAGAAAATCGGTACATTCTTCATGCCTGAGGCCATAATCGGTCAAATGTGGCCTAGTGGCACATGTGACAGCAGCCAAAGGGCCCAGGCACCCACTCCCCCGCCCCCAAGGCCACCATGCTAGCCCCAGACGGGTAACAAGCAGAATCCCGAAATAGAAACAGTCAGCGGCCTCTCTTTTAAGGCGCGAATCGTCCAGCCACTCCATCTCTCCTCTTCCCCCCCTCGTTCCAGGTCGGAACGATGGCGTTTATATGTCCAGACTTGAAATCTTCATCTCGTCGATATCAATGCTGAGTATATATCTGTAAATTGTTCGCTCCTTTTTGACATATAAGGCAGCATATTTATGCGCTCGATCTGGGCTGGTCCCTGAGCTACAGAATTCGACATCATAGCATTTAGCGCTGAATTATTCGCATTTGAGCTTTGGCATTTTGGGTGGATCTACTACCAATGCAAATGACTCCGGGCTGTCTATCCATACTCAGATCCACTTTAACCGTTCAGAATTCGGAACCAACAAGTCCTTGTTTCCGTTCGTCTCGATTTGTTGATTACTAGCAATGGAAAGCTCTTTCACCAGTGTGATACCACAGTCGGAACCGAATGACATTGGAGGAACACCGGTGGTTATCCAGCAGTATGCGAGATACTCATCTACGTTGGAGCCAGGGTTACAGAGTGGCTCTTCGTTAGGGAGCGCGCGCAGTCGGTTAGGAGCGTCAAAGTCTCCTCCCCTACATCGCAAAGCGACTCCTCGCAGTCTGCAATCTTCCCCTACTGGTCTACGGCCAGTTATGCCTGCGACGTCGGCTACGCGCTCAGGACCGTCGATGTCTCCTCCAGTTTATGATACCGTTCGCCAGCGACAGGCTAGGGACACAATGGATCAGGCAGTCTCACGGGGCTTGCCCTCTCGCGATATTAGAGATGAAACTATCGACGACGCTTACGTGACGTTCATTCTTTATTGTAACCCAAACGTTCCAATGTCCGCAGACACCACCGAGCTTCGAAAGACTTTCCGATCTCCGCCCAGAAGCGATGGCAAAAGCTTCAGCATCTTCACCCTCTGGGAGCTTATTCGGAAGCTGGACAATAAGGAGCTGAAAACATGGATTCAGTTGGCAATCGAGCTAGGCGTGGAACCCCCTTCAGCGGAGAAGAAGCAAAGTACGCAAAAGGTTCAGCAATATGCGGTGCGACTCAAGGTTCGTAAAGTTGCGCTCGGCCAAAGATGTCGCGAAGATGCTAATATCTAATAGCGTTGGATGCGCGCAATGCACGTGGACGCCTTTTTCGAATACTGCCTTGGCCATCCTCATCCGTACTACACCCAGCTTCCGGCCTCTAACGCCGCGGTCAGTGACACTCGCGACGGCGTACCGCTAGAAGAAGACCTTGCCTTGCGTGCGCTTGTCCCTGAGTGGAAACCGAAACGTGGGCGCAAACGGGCCGACGAAAGGGAGCAAGCTAACGAGAAGCCGGCGAAACGACCTCAGCTGGATACTTCCGTGGGGGTATTGCAGGCGGGTTCATTTGCAGATCAGTCTGCAACATTTCCGCAGAGCGCTATCCCATTCAGTGCTTTCCCTGACAACGATCCATGGATGACAGCTGCATCATCATTCCCAGCTGATGGCTCTACAGACAACCAGCAAGGCCAAGACCTTCGGTGGAGGCCTCTAGAGCGAGACGCATCGCCTGCTGGATATCCACAGTCAGCGATAATTCCACGAGGGCATCATCCGTCAGAAGTTCTTCTGCCAACGGCAGAGCCACGCTCGGCGATCGATCCGTCCTCTGGTGAAAAGTCGCGATCTCGGAGGCGGCATGGCCCAGCGGTTTCTTCTGCCTGGCCTAACAGCAATGCATCGATCACTGGGAAGACTCGGGGTAGGCCTCCGCAGAGAGGCGTTGTCTCTGGTCCATTCTCCACGTTTCCCGTGAATCCTAGTCGGACTGATTCCAGGCAAAGTCAGGGACCGGGGTCAAGATCTTCGCCTGCTATTGTGGTAGAGCAGAATTCCACAGCTCGCGCAGACTCCCAGTATCAACAGTCGCCCACTCCTTTCCCTCATGCGACTGCCAGACCAAACAAGCTTCAGTTACAAGTTCCACAACACTTAGGCGGACCTGTCCGCCTTGCCACACCACCGACGCTAATGGTCAATGGAATGAGTACTCCGTCTGCCTCCCTTAAGGTGGAACCTAGTCATCGGAACGGCTCTACCGCTCATCCAAGTAACTTTTTCGGCGGAAGTACTGTACAAAATGTCATGCCGCATACGAATCCCAATTCTTCGTCTGATAACAACGCGACCTTGGACATTAGCCTTGACGATGTTGCCCGCGTCCTCTCGGACGAGCTACTCCGCGCAAAGCTCACAGGCAGAGCAGTACCTCTGAGCGCTGAAGAGGCTCGTGCCTTGGCATTCTCCGTCCTGAGGCGTTTGAGTGCTAATTACATACGACTTCCCTCGGGGCTGTCGGCTCTTGCGTCAGCTCTTTACCTTGGGCTTGGAGCGCATTTTGGCTTTACCAACCCCGTCCCGAGCTCGATGACGGTGAATGTTGAAAGAGTGCCCTTAGCTGCTGGGGAAGGTCCAACGATGGCGGCCGATAGGACGTCGTCCACTTTCGTCTATACGATTTCCCATGAATACAGACACGGTTCTCAGTTCTCCACAAAGGTCGTCTACAGCGATACCGGCATCTCGAATATAGGTGTTGGTAAACCTGAGGGATCGTCACGAATGACGGAGGATATGGACAACAGCGTTATTGAACTTGACAGTATGACCGATGCGGAATACGAAATCGATGGTGCAGAAAGCACCGTGTCTGAAATGACGTGGAAACAGCGTTACATGAAATTGCGAGCACAGATGCAGAAACGGGAGCGGTCGCTGTCCCAATACAAACGCAAGATTCTCGAGTCTGTGATGGCAGACATATAAATACGCCAATTAGCTTGCCCGATCCTGAGTCGGCTTGCGCCAGCGCGATGTTAATTCGTCTGCATATATTATCTGAATACTTAATGATACCCTTGGTTTTACTTTTTGATGCCACCTGGCGTTTGTTTCCAAGTCGATACTTTGACATGTTATTATGTCATCTGCAGTAGTCGCGATCTTGTGGCGCTGGGTTTTGAAGTTCGATTTGTGTTATAGATACCCCTTGTGCAAATGAAATGCTTAAGATTAGACAGGAAACTTTTCACCTCGGCGTAGAACATATGAAAGCATAATTAGGGCTTTGTATTCGGTGATCTGAACAACTTGCGCGATGAAATATGACTTAATGCGAAACACCAACTTGGAAGTCACAACTGAATCAAAAGGTCAATAGAAGAAATCAATGTCCAGCCTCCAAATCGCGTAACAAGAAATCATTCTGCAACAGCAGCCCGTGGCGAAAACCAGAGAATCAAGCTGCCTCCTCACTCTCCTTGACCGCAACATGACCGTCGCCCTCGGAGTTCCAGAGCTGGTCAAACAGCGTCTCACCGTCGACAGCAGTCGCATCAGCGTCGACGCCCAGACCCTTCTCCTCTTCAGCATCAGACACCTCTTCCTCCTTTACAGGGCTCAACCTCTGCTCAACCATTCTATGTGCGCTCTCGAGGACAGTCTCCTTCAACACCCGGGCTTTCTTGGCTCTGACCTTGCTACTCTCCCCTGCAGGCTTGCGCTTTGCGGGTGAACTCGAACTCGAACTCTCGCCCGTCTCCTTGACTTTGGTCTTCTTTGGAAGACCAGCCTCGGCAGAATTGAGTTCCTTGGGGGAAGAGTCTGGGGAAGCTGCTGCTGTGTCTGGTTCGGATTCGGTCGTGGTCGTGGTCTCTTTCGCCGCGGCAATGTAGGCTTTGAGCAAGCGTTTGTAGCGTTTTGCGCTGGGTGGAAGTGTTAGTTCTCGGTGGAGAAATCTGTTTGGGAAATAATTGTGACGTACGCGGCTCCTCTGCTGACGATGTTGCATTGTTTGGCGACTTCGTTGAAGTCGACCTGGTATCTAGTTAGTCCGACTGGTTTAAAGGAGATTGGGGAGGGAGGGAGGGAGGAGAGGAGATGGGGCTCACCTTGCCGCTGTTTGAGTAGCGGATGCAGCTTAAGAGGAACTGAACTGTTTCATCGGGGATTGTGGGAGCCATCTTGATTGTTTGGCTTGGTGGATTGGTGTTTTGGATGGTAGGTGTGGGTAAGGTGTTGTAGTTCGGATTGTATATGGAAAGAGGTGGGGAAGTTGTCGGGGGTGGAGTCTGTAGAGAGAATAAATAGAGCGAGGAGCTAGAGGGAGTGACCTCAAGGATTGGAAGACAGAGGTGAGTGAGAGGTGTTATGAGAGGCAGATCAACACAGGGACCGAAAGAATAACGAGATGGTCAAGGGCGCGTGATGCCGGAGATGAGTGAATAGGTGCAGTAGGTCAGGTCACTTATTCTGAGCTTCTGAAACAGTCAGGAGACAAGGCGACTTGCTTCCCAAGTGATGTTAGGCTATGCTAAATAAGTATTGGAGTAGGGGATGAACAATTCGGAAGAGTCTATTGTTTTCAGGTTGGGCTCGCGTCTGTGTGGTGCCTCAATCGAGCGTGTATTGATTAGCAATAGGTCTTGGATGAGCTCTTTACAGATTCTTCATATGCTATAGAACAGTCATCAATGAGCTGTCATTGTTTTCTAACATGGTGGTACCTATTCTAGACCTAAGGACGAGTTCCAAACAAATTCAATGCTCAGAACTTCTCGGTAGGGAGATAGTGTCACAGAAGAAAACATCAAGGCTCAAAACAAATCATCATTTTCTCAGCTTATTGCTCATATCCTCCAGGATCCCAAATTTTACCCGTTGAAGCAATGACTGTCTCCATCCTACGCCCTAAGGTGTTCGTTACGGAGATTCGAAAGGTGGAAGATTGTGCCAGTCTCATACCTACGCTATCAGTCATGGTGTTGCTTTATATAAGAAGACGGCGTGAAAACTTACAATAGCAAAGCTCCCTGCAGGTCTTTAAGCTTCCGCTTTGACAGTTTCACCACCCTCCATCTTCACGTCTCCGTTGTCCTTCTTGACTGGAACCTCGACGGACTCCATGACGGCGGCCTCCTGGGCGACGGCCAGCTTGCCCTTGCCTCTTGGACCGCGCTTTCCGGCAGGCTTCGTCGAAGGAGAGGTAGAGCCATCGGTGCTCACCGGACCAGTGGCGGGAATCGGCTTTGAGTTGACCTTGGCTCCCTTGCGTCCAGCAGGCTTGCGAGCCCGCTTGGAAGGAGAGGGCTGGACAGTCTCGCCGGAAGAAGACGCTTCCTCATCGCCCGCAGTACCATCTTTGGCAGCGTCGGCAATAGCACCAGCTTTGTTGGCCTTTGTAGGGGTAGAGGAGAACTTGCACTCCAGGTTGGGGAATCCATAGCGCTTGCTCAGGGTGCGAAGACGGTTGCGGGCTGAGAGCACATTGCTGTACTTAAAGGCAGTGGCAACTTTACCGATGTCGACCTGACGCGTTGTTAGAGGTATTGCATCTCTGTAGAGGATCAGAACGTGAAAACCTCCGTTGACTGACCTGCTTAGATTCGTTGAGATTCTTGAGGCATTCAATGATGAAATGGGCATCGGCACTACTGATGTCCTCACCGTTGGTCTCGGGGTTGGTGGACATTTTCAGTGAAGTAAAAGTACTAATAACTTTTACACACGTGTTTGGGGAAGGCAACAGAATCTCCAGGTAGTGAGAGTGCCTGAAGGGAAAGTTGAACGAGTTGACATAGAGACAAGGGAAGGTGTGATACGGTTTATACGGGAGGTATGAGGATGAGACCAAGATCACAGGTGTAGAAGAATGTGATAGAGGGTGATAGCTAGAAAGAAGAAGAGAAAGAAAAGGAAACACGTACACAACACATTATTTATATTAGCACGCCGAGAGGTAGGTGATGTCGTTACGGCAACACAGGACTGAGTCCAACTGTGATTGAATTGAGATATCGATGACGCTGAGGGATGGACAAGACCACAGGTAAAGTGAGGTCCACGGACTCAATCAATTGATACTACATCAAGTCAATCGTATGAAACTGGACTGTCTGTATCCTTCATTCCAGTCTATGTCCTGTTGGAAGAGACTTAAGAAACGGTTCTGATATGACTCCGGAGCCAAAACACAATGTTAAAGAGGCCTGATGACAGGACAGTCAGGATGCATGGCTCCAAACATCAAGGGATAGTATAGTTAATTAGCTAGTAAAGCTTCATTGGAAAAATCGGGCCAAAGCATACAATTACAACCCACAGAATCATGTCAGATCATATCTCAACTTCACGCATCAAGAATCAAACGAACATAAGCCAAGTACCTTAGCGCCTCACCGTAAGTCATGCAACAGAAGTTTCACCTTCATCACGAATCCGCCCATCTAATCGCCCCCAGCCTTGTCAAATCCTCTCCTACTGTTCCTCCTGGGGCGGTTCAACTTTCACCAGTACATTATTGACCTTGCCTCCCGTTTCCGGCTCGGGTTCACGCTCAGACTCAGGCTCGGTTTTAATAGGGGCCCATATGCTTGGACCCGCCTGCTGATGAAAGGCCACAGGCGGCGAGGGTGTGAAAGCAGGAACAGGCGCATACATGGTCAAAGTTCCCGGAGCCGCGGTGAGTGGAGTGTACGGAACTATCTGCGGCTGGACAGGTTGCGGATGCATCACTTGAGTCGAAACATGAGGAATGTCTGCTAGGTTCTGGACTTCATGACCGTATGGGTCAACCTTGATGTAAGGGTTTGGCTCGTACGCCGGGCCTGCATTTTCTTGCTTCACTGGCGGATGAGGGGAGCCCTTGTCCTTCAGCAGATCGGCTTTGCTGGCAGTTCCTTTGCCAGTCTTGGCGGGAGACTTTTTGGGCCGAGAGGAGCGCGGTGTAGATGTGATCCCTTCCATTTGCTGTCGAAAGCGAGAGTAACGCATCCGAGCAGCGTGGCCGTTGGAAATTTCGAGCTGCGACGCAACTAGGTTCCAGTCAATCTGTAGAGGCGCATTGTTAGCTGCAGTCCACACTCTTGGGAGTGCAAGAGGAGGAAGGGCCGACTCACAGATTTCAAGTCTAATTGCTTGATAATTGTGTAGAGAAACTTGGCAGTAGGGCCGTCAGTTGGCATCGCCTTGCTGCGTCTGACGGTCGTCATGGTTGATTTTGGAGCGAATGGATTACTGATGATAGAGGTATCAAGCAGAAAGCCTGCAGTAGAGGGTCCAGTTGTGCTTGGGAATTTGGGATATTGAGATTGATGGAGGAAGATGCACTCTCTTGCACAGACGCTGAATATATAAGTCTCTAATATTGGATTTAGCCCACAGGAGAAAATGTTGTTGTTGTCCGCCGCAACGGCTTCTTGCAGCAACAAAGAAGCCGATCAGGCACGAGAGGACGAAGCAATAAACAAAGCAGGTGGAGTTGACCTTTGGGATTCTGTTGAATTGGATACCTAGAGACTGGTTGACGACTGTAGCTAAGTCTTGTTGTCGTCCAAACGAGAATCTTCCCGCAAATAAAACTCCCAGTCATGTATCTGGTTTCTCGTGGATGAAGTCAACCGCTTGGCTTCTAAGTATATTTCTCTGCATAAACATCGGAGAGCATACTTCTTCCATTCTGAATGTATTCAACATTCCAGTCGTGTCTCATGCTACTGGTACGGAACATTCTAATTCATCTGAATTGCATTCAAAAGAGTCGGTATGTCCAAACAAGACAGCCTTCTTTGTGATCGCGGCATAATATTTCCAAGACAAAGATGGATGCGCAGCCATACCTACGGAATCCACAGGACTTTTCTAGTAGTCATCTTACCGTCCTCAGTGGCTTCAGGCACAATGAAGGATGATGGTGGCTGGTGAATGTGCTGCAAGGAAGACAGGTAGACCTGTCATGCCAGCTTGATCCCCACAATGCTTATCAATGTGACAGATCAGATTGTGTAGGTTAGTTGGGAATCTCTTCAAAATCCTACTACAGGAAAATTGTCCATTGTACATGCTAACATAGTTATCTCAGGCAAATAGCCTCGCTGACTACGGCTTAGTTTCCAGTCGGTAGCACACAATCTACCTCCCCGTCAGGACAGTCGCGATCTATTCTAGTCCTCCAGGAGCTGCAGGCTACGGCAGCGACCATACACGGTTCCTGCAGCTTCGCTCCACTATTTTGTATCAGTCTCGAGCTAATCATGTATCTTGAATTGCTTTTTGTTACAGCATCTTCGACCGTGGTATTGGCACGCGTGCGCGTCTTAAGGCGCGTGATGGCCATTACCCTCTTTTCAAACCGGGTATAAGTACTTGAACTGGCGATTCCTTCCATCGTTCCTTTGAAACCTCAAGTTCCTCCATTCAGTTATACCGATCTCCAATCGACTTCCTGCCTCTTTAGCCCGCTGTACTTGAGGCTTTGTTGAGGTTTCATCGGCAACATTATACAATGCCTACATCTCGCATAAGATGGGACGACTGGAAGGACAAGGTGATGCTAATGGCAGTGTTCGAGCAAATGAACATGACCTCTCCGGACTTCAAACGTCTCTCCAAAGTGATGTGTGGAGATTACAGTGCGGACGCTCTGAAGTATGACCATCACTCAATGGACGTCCACGAGCGAAGAATGCTAATAGGTGCTACCGAACCAACAGAAACCGCTTCAGGGCACTCAACAAAGAGGCTGCAGCTATCTTGCGTGATCGCCAGCGCCATGCCGAATCACGAGAAATGACCGACGAGTCCCTTCCCATGATGTCGGGAGCTGTGAACAGTCCGGACGAAAACGATGTCGCCGTTATCCGAGAAGTTGCCTTACGAAGCGAGCTCACCGCCCCTCTGAGCGAACCCTCCCCTAGTATGCAATCGAGGCGCTGTCCGCCACAAACGCAGAGAGCCATGCCAGAAGTTATCTCACAGAACTCTCAGCTTTCCAGCGTTGATCACCACACCCAGAGCAGCGGTGTACAACACCAGCAGCAGTCGAGTTTGAACTACGAGCCAAGTGTGCATCCTGCACGCCGTCCCCAGTGCTCCCACGAAGCAACCTCCCCGGCTCGCCCGTACAACCACCCTCGCAGCTCTCCTCAAATAGGGTCAGGCGGACGTGGTTTTCCTCGCGGACAGCAAGAGCGGGGTTGGGATCAGACTCTCAGGGCCAAGAATACTGCTGGAAGGCCTTTCAAGCTGCGAAATAAAAACAACCGTCAGCGCAATATTCCCCAGATGACCCGAGTCGAAATTAATCATGGACCTGTACACACCAAATTTTAAAAGTGAAGCATTTGTGTCTTGATTCGTGTATAGAATGTTAGCGATGCATTTGTTGCGAATATTGGTACTCTTTTTGTATATATTTCGATGTTCATTATTTTCTGGCTTACATTGACTGGATTTATGTTTGATGCGAGTCAGCCATTCACCTGTCTATATCATCACCTCCTAGACCTGCTTTTGGAGAGCACGAACGGGCAAATTTGGCAGTTTCTTGCAGGCCGTGCTGTTGGAACATGACAATGATGAATTGTCTATATTAAGAGTGTAAGAGATCATTTTCAGATAGCACTCGGGAATCACTGGAGTGAATACACTTCCTCATGATGTTAGGGTTAGACGGCGGAAATATATTCCGACTTAATAAGTATGAGCAGTATTCATGATCACTAAAGCTTATATCTTATCACTACTTCTACTTTATTGCATTGATGCAATATTGAACATGCACTGCAGTGCTATTTCTACTAGCTAGAAATGGTTGTCTGGATACCTCGTTAGATGAGTGGTTCTAGTCCAGTTGACATGCAAAGCCCCAGCACAAGATTTTTTGAAGAGAGGGATGTCCGGTCAAAAGGATAGGAACTTGGAACTGTAAGTAGGATATTACGCGTTTTCCCTTAATGAATTTGTTCCAGATGACAACAGTTGACACCACTTCCTAGGGCCATGAGATGCTAACCTGATCTGAGGAGAGACATGGATTAGTAAAACAGGGGGAAGAGCTCCGTAAGAGATGGTCTATGATATGCTATACTATCTCTCTATACCATTATTCCTGCCTGAGCAAGGAGGGGAAGAATAAGGGAACGCAGTGGTTAAAGGGAGCTGACTGGTCTCAGTGAATCCCAGCATGGTCATGGGCCAGTAATTAACTCAGGCCAAAAGATATTCCTGATGCCAGCAATGCAGCTGCGCATGGGAATAGGGCTGGTGAAGTGCCATACTATGCAGCCCACGATGAAAACTTTTCACGCCTTTCTCTCGGCGCTGGTTATTTAAACCGAGCTGGGCGTCTTCTGCTTCTCTCTTCCAAATACTCAGCTATCCATATCATAGCAGATCTTTGACCGTTCACAACAAGTCATTTGATTGATTGAACCATCAATACAAACAATGGTATCTGCTAAGAGAAAGGGCCTAGAAGGCGAAGATGATAGCCCCAGTCATCAGCAGGGAAAGGTTCCTGGCAGAAACCGCGGTGCAAAAAAGCCAAAGACTCATTCATCTGTCCCCGCCCAAACTACCTCACCTGCTACACATGGCTCTGTGTTGGCCCAAACCCACACATCTGTAGCGTCCAGTATTCAGGAGTTGCAGACCCCAGAGACCCCCACCCCTCAGCCTTCCAAATTCTGGACCAGCGAACTTAGGATCGCCTTGCTTGTCGCCGTTCTGAAGGAACTCGATCAAACAATCTCGGAGAAGACCTGGCACCAGGTTGCTGAAACCCTCAGACCAATGAAGCCTAACATTTCTTGGAATGGCGCACGGTAAGTCTTGTTTTCTACATTGGGTGAAACACATCACCTGACTCGTTCCCCCTTCTGAGAGTTCATCTTCGCTCCTGTGGAAAGATTGTACACTCTCTGTGATCATCGTTCGTGGCCTGGAATTGCTGACAGATTGAAAGCTTGGAGGTCGGCCGTCTCAAAAGAGAACATTTTCCCAATACTACGCCCGCACCGAGCGGCCGATACGATCAGCAAGCTCAAATATCGAAGGACGAAGACTAAGAGCCCGAGGCAGTAACACCCTGCGATTGGTAAGTACATCTCGATCTGACGGCGCATCTAACCCTCCCCTGACATGTAATGGCCAGGCAAACACTCTCGTCATCACGTTAAGGATACTCTGTGAGCAGCTTGGTCATCGCCGTTTCCCTCGTTGCATAGTGTTTTACGAACAGGAAAGGGCCATCCAAGATGATGGGTTGGGGATAGTTATGGAAGAGACGAATATCTTGCGCAATTCCTAGTTCTTGGCTTTGTATCTTGATGTCCGTGGCCGTTAATTCAAGTCCGTTGTTTACTTCGTCATTTTTATGTACCACCATGGTCATGAGGCTGCATCAGAACGTATCTGAAATGTTACGTTCGCAAGTAGGAAATACTTGGAAACCATCGTGTACCATTTTCATTGCAGCAGCTGCCGTAATGTCCTTGTCGATGTCGCCTGCGGGGCATGACTAATATGCGAATCGACAACCTCTCCTCAATCTCTCAAATTCTTCGCACACGTCGGTCACTGTAGTTTTCTTTCTGCCATATGAGAGACTTGAAACATAGCGTCGTTAACCCATCAAAGTCTGGGAAAATGTCGTTGGTTGCAGTAGGTGCATGCTATGTTGACACAATCTTGACGTTGGTTGGAAACTAGTCCCCTGCATCTTCCTGACAGACCAACACTAGCTTACCCTCAATGCAGAACTCCTCACTACCCAGGAGAAGATGAGAAGTTGCGTGCTTCAAGTATCTCTCATCGCCGCGGAGGAAACTGTCCGAATACCTTGGAGGTACTGCAGCAGTTGATAGCACACAGCAAGACAACCTCAAAGGTCTCGCTGAACCTGGTCGCAGTTCTGCCCGCGAAGGCATCCGTTGCATCGCAGCAGATCCTGGCAGGCTTTGGGCCCGGAGTTGAACTCGAACATTGCACCTATCGTGAACCATTCAGCGAACCGGCATCGAGTTATATCATTAAAAGTCAAGCGTCTGGAAGCAGGACAATTGTTAACTACAATGAGCTCCCGGAAATGACTGTCGAGGAATTTACGGCAATTGCAGATAAGATTGGCTCCACTGCCACTTGGTTTCACTTCGAGGTCTGCGACTTCCATTCTCTGTGAAGCATTCAGGATACTCATGTTTAATTGTAGGGTCGGATACCAGAAGTATCATTGGCATGTATGCGTTATCTACGTCAATGCTATCCTTCAATCAAGATCAGCGTCGAAGCAGAGAAACCAGCACGGCCCGGTCTCCAGGAGCTTGCGAATGAGGCGGACGTTGTTTTCTACTCGAAGAGCTGGGCTCAGGTACGAGTGCTTCCTACACCTGTCATATAGTCTCCCAGGGTCACAGTCTGCTAAACCTTGTCCAGGGGCAAGCCTACGCGTCGGCCGAGGAATGCCTCCGAAGGCAGTCCCGCCTGACACGCAATGCGTAAGAGAGACCTTAACATTATCCATGGGTGCAGTGGTTGACTGATATACTTCCATCAGGTCTTTCCTGTGTTGTACATGGGGAGAGGGCGGAGCTGTTGCTCTAGATACTCAAACTGGTCAACTATTGCACAGTCCTGCGTACACAGCACCAGACTTTCAGGTCGTTGAGTAAGTCGATCTACTGAAAATTTTTGACAGAAATACTGATCAATGCAAGTACCATCGGAGCTGGTGATACATTCATAGCCGGAATGTTGTATGCTTGGCTCTGCCAGGAAAATTGGAATCTCGAGAAGAAGATACACTTCGCAAACCGGGTTGCAGGCATGAAAGTGGGACAGGAAGGCTTTTCTGGTCTGGACAAGGCACTGGAGTCATTTTGAGAACGAAACATTCAGAGAACGGGCAATATCTGCTTTTACGAGCGTGTATGTCTCATCAATGATCCCGCGCTTGAAGTTGGGAATCCGTGCTGTAGTCAAGGAAAACAAACTTGGCGATTGGTAGCAGGAATCGTTCCAACCGCCGTCAGAAAGAGAGAAATAGTGCTAATCGAGCATTCAAGGCCTCTCGGTATGGGGATGCCAAGAATTTTTATAGGTGGGTAATACACGTGACCTTCTACTCCAAAGGCGGTGAACTATAAAAAAATATTCTGCCTGCATCTTTTCGGTATCCTCGTGGAGCTTTTCTCTGCGACGATCAGGAATCAAAAAAGCTCAACGAAAATATCCTAGTACAATCATAATGGCTGCCGTTTACAAGGCAGTGTCTAAGAAGCAGTCTCGGCAAATTGCCGAAGATCAAGATGAGGTAGACATGGAGATGGAAGATCTCCTCGCTGCAGCCGACGATACAAGCGACAGCGACGAAGACGAAGATGAGCACACTGCGGAAGCGGCTAAGAAGCAGCTCGCCGCTGGATTCATGCCCAAGACTCGCGTTCTTATGCTGACTTCAAGAGGTGTGACATATCGGTATGTTCAGGATTTTCTAGCGGATTGGGACTTGACCTTTTCAGGTACTGACGAGCGATTCTAGCCATCGACACCTGCTCGCCGATCTCTGCTCTTTGCTCCCTCACACGCACAAAGAAAGCAAATTAGATACGAAAAAGAAGACGGCCGGATACAATCTACTCTTGAACTCCCTCGCAGACCTCCACTCATGCAATGTCATTTTCTTCCTCGAAGCCCGCAAGCGCGGTCAAGATTTGTATCTGTGGCTGGCTCGTCCTCCCAATGGACCTACGATCAAGTTTCACCTCACCAACCTGCACACAATGGGGGAATTGAACACTGGATTCAGCGGTAACTGTTTGAAGGGTGGTCGTGGTATTGTCGTTTTCGATCGGTCATTTGACGACCAGGGTCCGGTTATGAGCAGCCCCGGAAACGAGTACCGCGGATTGATCAGAGAAATGCTGCGTGGAGTTTTCTGTGTACCCAAGCGTGGTGTCAAGGGCATGAAGCCTTTTATTGACCGCGTCATCGGTGTCTTCGGCGTGGATGGCAAGATTTGGATTCGCGTCTATGAGATTAGAGAGTCCGAAGGTGGAGCCAAGAAAGACGACGAGAACAGCAAGCCCGCGCCCAAGGGCAAGAATGCTCAACCTGAGATCTCCCTCGTTGAGATTGGACCTCGCTTCGTCCTTACGCCAATCGTCATTCTTGAGGGCAGTTTCGGTGGCCCTGTCATCTACGAGAACAAGGAGTATGTGAGCCCCAACCAGGTCCGCAGTGAGATTCGTTTGAGCAAGGCAGCGCGTTACGCCAAGCGTCGGGATGTCCAAACCAACTTGATCTCAAAACGCTCTACGTTGGGCTTGGCGGAA